GAAACTTGAGTGAGGGAGGTACGAAGTCTGAGTTCAAAAGTGAATACCTACCTAGGTGCCTAGGTACCCTTCACTTTTCGCTACGAACACAGCCAGCATTCCGACTACCAGAGGATACCCCCGCGCCGGCCACTATAGCCATTGTAGCCAACTGTCCAACGTTCCAACGTGTTGATATCGATTGAATTGAAAAGAAAAGAAAAGAAAAGAAAAAGAAGAATAAAACCTAAAGAAACTAAGTTTACTCTATTTACTTTTACTTTTACCCTATTTCTTTTATTTAATTTCAGTTTCTCGATTTCTTTATATTTATTATTTTTACTTATTGATTACTTAGGTATGTACTTTATTTACTTTTGAACTCGGCCTTTATAATTAGAACAATCCAAAAGAAAAGAAGTACCCCACTTTCTCTTTTTGGGCTTCCTCTCCTACGATCGCTCGACTCCATTCTTTCTCCACACCATATTCTTCACAACCACCTGCCCCGACAAGACCATCGTTTTTGCGCGCGCTTCTTTTTGCGCGTCGTCAGTAAGTGATTGAAATAACTACAATTTGCTGGTACCAGTAGCTGACGGTTGAATGTGCAGCATTGTCGTTCTCGAATTTTCTCTTGTCGCCGGTCGGTCAGACCGCCTCGGGCGGCTGGCTCTCTTTTGGCTTCGGCCTGTCTCGTTCCCCCCTCCAGTCTCCCGCGGTCAGTCCGCCTCTGGCGGCTGCCGCTCTTTTGGCTTCGGCCACAATGTAAGTGGTCAGCCTCCCAAGGACCAAATCTCTCACCTACTAACAGGTCTAGAATATCAAAATGTCATCTGCCGGCGCTACCACCAGGGCTCCTGCCTCGACTCGCCGTCTTCAAAACTGCGCCTTTGTCTTCAATAAGAAGAGTGGGTTGGCCTTTGCTGAGGACAACGGCTCCAGCGACGAAGTCGCTGTCATCGGCGGCATGAAGGTCGGCTACCCGGACAACCACCAGACTCGTTATTACGTCAACGATTCAGGGTCGGATGGTCCTCACGTTGGCCTGAGGATCAATTTCCCGGTCCGCCAGAACCTCGATTACGTCAGCTTCAGCGACTCTCACGGTAACCCCCTGAAAGAACGCTCCATCACCATCCAACTGAAAGCCGGAACGTTCGTGAGCTCTGGAAGGGTCTTGTCGCCGGAGGATCTTGCCAGGCTGCCCCCCCGTACCACCGATAAGAACGACGCCCTGTCGGTCTTGCGGTTCACATTAAAGGCCAACGAGAAGGCACACGTCGAGAACTACGGCATGCCCACGGTCTGCGCGAGTCCTGTGGACCAGGATATCTTTGACAAGGACGCGAAGATTGACGACGTCATGAGCCTTCGTGAGTTTTGTCTCCAGAGGACATTCGAGGTCATTATCCCGAAGTTCTCTACCAAGCTCCCCGATATCAACAACCAGTTGAGGACGGTTTTCCCGGCGCGATTCGAAACGCCGTATCCGTATACCAACGGGTGAGTAATACGCCCGGCTCCTCGCCAATCGTCCTTGCTAACAAGCTCACAGAGAGTGGAACCCTGCTCGGTACGAGGTCGAGCTCAAGCAATTCGCTAGGGACACACCGTACCTAGCGAATTACAAGTTCCATCGTCACCAAGATTGTGCGGTGGTTATTGCCCACGGTGTCGTGCAGGACACCTACCAGTTCATGAAAGACGTCATGGCCATTCGCAAGGAAAGGGTCGAGTGCGCGTTTCTGAGCATCGCGCCGGACAATACCAAGGAGTTCCGTGTTCTCGTCTGGCACCATCTCGACGTAAGTGACCGTCCAGCCGCTCGAAATCTGTCAACTAACATCGAGACAGAAGGAAAAGTTCAGTAACACGCTGGCCCGCCTCCTGAAGGGAGACGCCCGATTTGGCCTAGCCTTTGCGCCGCCGCCTGTAGACAAAGCCAAGGACACTGATTACTGGAGAGCCCGGCAGATTTCCGCGGGCCCTTGGAAGGAGACTGGGTGCGACTTCGCTATGGAGATCCGCCGCCCGCTTGGTCACAACGACCCCGGACACAGGGTTGCCAGGCGCGACATTGTCGCCTTTGACACGTACAGCGAGGCCAATAAGTTGTAGGGCGACTTTTACCTCAAGTTCGAAGATGGCGAGGACGTTGCGGAAGCCCGGGTCAACGCCGTCAAGCCTCTCTGGGAAGAATACGCCCCGGTGACCGACGTCAAGGTGGCTGCCAAGGCTTACGAGCAGCAAATCGCGAACCTCATCAAGAACGATTTGCTTGCCGGGTCGGGGTTCAACACATTGCTGCATCCTCCTGCCCCGCCTACGAACCTTACTGGCGATGACGCCGACGTCGACGCCATCAGGAACGCGATCCAGGGTATGAAACTTGTCCACGACCAGCACTCGCTAAAAAGGGTCAACATCTTCGACACCGGCAACACCGAGAACCCGCTTTGGGCCATCGTCAAGGATGGCATCGGCGAGACCACGTCCGAGCGCTTCTGCGAGTACATGAAGGTCAATCGCCTCGGGGTCATCCCCATCATTGGGTTTGCCGGCTCCGGAAAGACCCAGATGAGCAGCCACCTCGCCGTCTTGCTGATGCGGGCTGTGTCCATTTACTGCGCGGCGCCCACCCATGTCGCGACGAGCAACCTCGCCGAGCGCCTCTTCGACCTCGGCGTGAAGGTCTCCAAGAAGCTCGGCTCGAAATGGCATGCCCCCCTCGTCGTCCGAGGCTACAGGATAAATAAAGAGCTCGAGGCCTTCGAGAAGATCGCTCTCCGATTTGACCCGAGCAAGGTGGCGGACCCGTTCGTCATCACGCGATGGAATCTCCGCTTGTCGGTCTGCGAGTGGCTGCTCAAGGTGGTCGGGGCACCGGGCTACCAGCTGGCCGAAATAGACCCGCAGCAACTGCACAATCTCCGCAAGGAGTTCCTGGGGAATGCCCATTACGATACCCTGCGTCTCTGGTTGGAGGGCAAACTTGACTCGGGTTTCCGGGGGCAGCGAGACGGCACCTCGGACACGAGGTCGCCGTGCGAGATAGCCGAAGAGCTTATGGTACAAATTATCATGAGGGCCAATGCAGTCTGCTCCACTCCCCACCTCGCCAGCCAGTCCCCCTACAAGCTGTATAACAGGGAACAGGCTAAAGGAGTGGTCCTCGACGAGGCCGGAGCCATGCACGAGGCCGACGCGCTTCTAGTGTGGGGCCCCGGATGCCGCCCCTGTGTGCTGGCCGGTGACGAGCGGCAGCTGCCGCCGGCGGTCATGACGCACGGCGAGAGGCGCGAGGGCCGGATCGTCAATGTGTACTCGCACCAAAGCAAGACCTCGGTGCTCGAGAAGCTTCGCCGCTCCGGCTGGCCGTGCTTCATCCTGACGACGCAGTACCGTATCGTTAGGGGTTCGTTCGACCTCGCGCAGTCCATCATTTATCCGGACATCAAGGATTGCTTCGAGTACGGCGAGACCACGGCCCTCCAGCATCATCCCATGGCTACAAAGATCGAGACATGGGTGACGATGGAGTATAGGGCGAGGGCCTCGTCCGCCGGTACGATTTTACCCCTGTTCTTCCACTGTCACGGCTCGCGCTGTGAAGTGGACGAGGCCATGGGATCACGGTACAACGAGCGCCAGAATGCGCTCGTTATCAAGCTCGTTCGGGGCCTCGTCGGTCTCGGTGTGACGACCAGCGATATCGTCGTCGTTACACCGTATCGGGCCAACCTGAACCGGCTCGAAATGGCCCTGGACGCCGCTGGCTGTGACGTGGCGGTCAACACCATCGACTCGTACCAGGGTCGGGAGGGGCTGGTCGTCGTTCTCGCCCTGGTCGTGGACCGCGCCACGGGTCCGCTCTTCATGCAGGACCCGCACCGCATCTGCGTCGCCACCACTAGGCACATCGGCGCCCTGTTCGTCGTTGGCGACATCAACAGCGCCAGGGGCACCAAGGACAGGGCCGAGGAGGCGGTGAGGTCCGACGAGGGTCAGCATTTGCTGCTGAACAGGACTGCTTATCGCAAGTTCATGCAGTATTTCAAGGACCATCGTAAGTCACTTTTTGCCTTCCCAGTTATCCCAGCATCATCTTGCTCTGTAGTGCTTTTGTTCTCAAGCTACCTATGTGACTGACATTGGCACATTGCTGATTGACAGGCCGAGTTGTCGAGTACCTCGCCCCCGGGGCCGAGCCGGATCCGCCTCCTAAGGAGGCTAGTGCTGGGGCTGGCGGTCGGGGCGGCGGCGGTTGGGGCGGCGGCGGTCGGGGCAGAGGGGCCGGAGGACGCGGTGCCGGTGGCCGGGGCGGTGGCCGCTAGTAGGCGCGGTGGGTGACATGGGGTTTTGTTGGGGCTCGACCGAGCCGTAAATTTTGTTTTTTGCCATGTATTTATTTTATGAAACCTATCGCATCTTGACTTCGCTATGCTGTGCCGATTCGAGAGTTAAGTCTCCAGAGGATATTCGTAACCATTGTCTCGAACTACTCTGCCAAGTTCCCAGAGTTCACATTGAACCGGTCCAGACCTCCCTCCTTCGCGGACGCCGTACTCTCGCACCTATGCACAACACTCTTCGCGGTTTACCTACCACAACCGATTGCAACACTTCTTTTCACAAAAAAAAGTGAGAATCAATAATTCAACATCAAGTACATTAGCCTCAAACACTTTTCTAGGGGAAAGATAGTCGCATTGATGCTTGCATCGGGATTGTTAAGGGTTTGTGGGAGGGCGCTTGATTTGCACGTGGCCTCAAAACGCCAAGGTTGCGAAGACTTCGGTTTTGGTGGGATTTGTACCCAAATCAAAAGTCCTTACGCCCTGACCCGAATCAATGGTCCTGACTCGAATTAACGCCCCCGGCCTTGGTGGATAGTCGGAGCGCCGATTTCGTCGACCCGACGAGTAGTCCCAAACAACGCTCTCTATCTGAAATAATGATCCTTACTACATCCCAGATAATAAGGCATAGAAATCTCAATCTAAAAAACAAAAAAGACGTACTCCCGGCGAGGATTGAACTCGCGATCTTCGCATACCCAATGCCCTTGAGAAAGGGGTATAAGAGCGACGTCTTAACCGCTGGACCACGGGAGTTTTGGAAGCAGACACATATTTTTCATCCATGTACCCTGCCCTGCCCAGACTGTGCAAGACAACCGCCCACGAACATAGTTAACCCCAACCCTGGCTCGTGCGACCTCTTTTTTCCCCAGCAGGTCCGTGTCTGTTGTTTTTCTGTTTCCGCGTTGCCTTTCATGCCAAGTGCAATCGGACATGCTTAGCCTGTTCAGCGGGAGTGCCTTTGTTTTTCCGTTTCCACGTCACCTTTTCGTCGTATCTAAGAGCCCATGAGATAGCCTCAGTTCCAGTTAGACAGACAAGCAGAATCACCAGCCCCCCAGACACCTTTGCGCATTGCGGTGTTGGCCTTAAGAGTGCGTGAGATGGACGACATCCCTCTATTCAGAGGGCGCCCGTTGTTATTATTCCCAGCAGATGTCTTGAACTTGTGTCGCCTCCCCATATCTGACAGGTCTTCGGATCCGAGGGTTGTTGTGGTGACAGCTGTGCTGGCAGTTTGCAGGCAAGGTCATTGCAGCTCCTGTTCATTATACGGGAAAACCCGGGGTCAGATTGCATCCAATGCAGGATACTTGCTGTCGCAGGAAAATGATATAAAACGATATAGTTGCTATTACTTTCCAACTCAGTCCCGGCTGTATTATTGTTTTGTTTATTAAATGTTGTGGTCAGTTTGTATGTAAATTTGGGAACGTGATAAGACTCTTTAACACCCACATTATTAGGAACCACCTCGTTGGTATCAGCTGTTCAAGGTTGATCCGCAAAACGTACAGACGCATGCAACCACCAAGTATATCCAGATGCTGGAAAGCACAATCGCGACCGTCGCATTCCTATGGCCTTTTAGAAAGGGGTATAAGACCCAAATCTTAACCGCTAGACCACGGGACTTTAAACTTATCTGAGAATAGGTATGAAACCTATCGCCTAAAAGAGTGTGCGCCTGCCACGAAAGTCCCACACTCCTACTTCTGCATCTTAACACCAACATCTCCAGCATCTTACCTCTTATTCCTACTGATATCAGTAGTAAAGGTACTTGGTGATATCCCATGTTTTAGACGACGATTAACCTTACATGCAATGCTGGAAAGCATCAATTCGCTGTCATGGCTGCATTCAGGCGCTCTCCTTCGCTCTTCCCTGCTCGCACCTGCCATCCGTGGGATTTGAACGGGCACCCAGCCCTCCGTGCCCTAACGGAAACCGGATACTGGATTGCTCTTGCCTTACGGGGGACAAGAGCAAAAAAAAAATAAAAAGTTTCCGCGGTGCACGATGAGCGTCGGCGTTACGGGAGCTCTCCTTGTCTTGATTTCTTCGTAGTGCCGTATGACAACGCTTGTTGGCGAATTTATAGCGCCCATCCTCCCTTGAATGTTCACAAGCCCTACAAGTAACCCCCCGCCGCGCAGACTGTCCCTGGCAACGGTGTATCTTTGACTCCGGCCAGGAGACATCGCCCCTGGCGAGTCTTCCTCCCCTTTGGCTCTGGCCAGGAGACATCGCCCGTGGCGAGTCTTCCTCCTTGGAGACCCCCTCTAGTTTTCTCGACACCATATCCCCCAACGGTAGGCCAGTTATCCCCTAGCTATATAACAGTTTCTAACCCACATTTAGTTACGCGCCCTCGCCGGGCCGCTGCTGCTGCCGCAAAGCAATCAATCACAAAGCAGTATAGTCAGGACTTCTTCAACCCATCGGATGAGAACTCAGACCAGGGTGAGTGCGCCAGCACTCCCGCTTCATATACACTCTGTCCTAGCGGTTCCATCTAGAGCAACACACTTTCGCAGACTCCCGTCGATCACCCCTGACTGCACTCTCCACCAACATCAACCCAGCCAAGAGGCGTCGGATAGAGGTTGTCCTCTTCGACCGCCCCCGTGTGCCTCCCCCCACCCCCCTGGCGCCTCTCCCCTTGGCACCCCTGGTGGCCCTCCCCGCAGCGCCTCTCACAACCGTCCACACTCCAGAACGGCTAGACGATGCCACTGAGGTGGGCGAGGAGGTAGAAGACTGGGCCGAGCTTTTCGAAGACAGCCACGATGATTCATTCCTCTCAGACGATGATGACGAGCTTTCCGATGATAACCACGACGAGCCATCCCTCTCCGACGACGATGCCGAGCTACCATCGCCAGTACAGGATACTGTCGCACTAGCTGTCGTTGATGAGGATGGGCTGATTAGGGTTGGCCCCCCTCCTGTAAAGGAGGCCCCTTTCGTTTGAACTGCACCAGTCGAGACCGCCCGAACGACCATCCGAACGGCAGTCCGCAGGAACTTTAGATACACGGACTCAAACTTACACGAGCACGAGTTCAGTAGCCAGGTAGTTAGATGGAAGAGGTGCAGCTCGATCACCTCGGTCGTCTCGTTAGCCACCTCACCGAGGACCGCGTCTACAAAGGCCGAGCTCAAAAGTGAATGCCCTGTTGCGCCAAGTCCCACAACTCACTGGCGCTTTTACTACAGCCATTGTAGCTAACCGTCCAACGTGCTGATATCGATTATGGAAACCTCTGATGCTCGAGTTTAAGAACAAAAAAAAAAGAAAAAGGAAAAAAAGGGGGAAAAAAGGAAAAGAAAAGGAAAGGAAAGTCGATTTGTTTACTCTATTTACCATTCCTTTTACCCCATTTCTTTTATTTGATTTCGATTTCTCGATTTCTTTATAGTATTTATTCTTTTTACTTAATTTCGATTTCTCGATCTTTTTGTACTTGTTCTTTTTGATTTCGATTTCTCGATTTCTATGTATTTATTCTTTTTGCTTGATTCCTTGCTACCATTAGTGTTCGCTGTTTTTTGGCCAAAGGTGGCTTGCAACATGGCACGTATTCATTTTTGAACTCAGCCTCCGTATGGCCTCACGCATCAGGAGTTCATCTACCACTGCACACATACTCCCTGCACCAGCATCGGAGACGGGAAGGGTCTTCATCCCTACCATATCCGGCAGGGGGTCCTCCCATATCCAGGACAGCTATATCACCAGGTTCGTTGATTGCATTACTATTTCCGCGCCGCAACAACAGACACGTATCGAAGTGTACATGTACTCAACTGACCACGACCCCGAGCTATTCTATGGATACGAGACTCTCTATGCGGACGGCGTCGATGAGGGGGCGGTTTCGTCGAGGGGAGTGTGTGGCCGGGGTCGGTGGAAATTCGAGGATGGTGAGTTACAACTCGGTAGGGGCGATAAGTTAGGTGTAATGGCGCTTGCTGACTTGAGATGTTCGTCTATATGGAAGGGGCCCGGTTGATAGGCCATAGGTAATGCCAGGTGGTGATTCTTCAAGTTAGGTACATCCCTGTCATGATACCCCAGCGCCAATCACTGGAAGTAGTCCTGTAGTCTAGATAAGTTTAAAGTCCCGTGGTCCAGCGGTTAAGACGTCGCTCTTATACCCCTTTCTCAAGGGCATTGGGTATGCGAAGATCGCGTCCAGCAGCATGTCCGGTGCCGGCGTGAAGAGTGTTGTGCATAGGTGCGAGAGTACGGTGTCGGCGAAGGAGGCGGAGAGGAGGAAGGGGGGCTCAGGGGTCAAGATGCGAAACTCGCCATGAAGGAGTGCTGGACATGTAAACATCCACGGTCACTTCGAGATCGACTGGCATTTAACTTGACCGCAGGATTACCACACAACCTTGAACCGGGCTACAGAACCGTGTTTCGCTTCAACCTACCTAATCAACCTTGGCCATCCGTCCGGGGCGGTTATCCCGCCCATTGACGGCGAGGGTTTCACTCCGCTTCCTCCTACCATTGAGAGCCCCTGGCAGGGCCAGGATGCTCGCTTCTAATCACGATTAAAACGTTGCAAACCCCTTCTTGCAGGCTGTACTAGTAATCGACCGCGATAGAACCCGCTCCCGGTTTCCAGCGACAGTCCCTCCCTCCAGTGCTAAATAAAGAACTGGGGCCGCGGAAAAAGCCCTGAGAAAAGGCCGCAGGAGAGCACGTATAAAGCTCGCAATCCAAATAAAGAGCTGCAATGTAGCAAAGGCTGCTAAGAAAAGGCCGCGCGTCAGTAAACGCAGCTCAGCCGCCGTACGCCCCACCCCTACTCGGGGTCAGAATTAGGTCCAGAGAAGACATCTGAGAGGGGAAATCCGCCAGCAGTCGCAAGCGACCGCGGTGCTGGCAAATTCACCAAGCCGCCGACAACCTGCAACTCATCCCCAATCTGTTACCGAGAGGACATTGAGCCACATCAAAGGTCTGGAGCATCAACGCTAGGAATCAGCAACGTGCAAAAACAAAACAAAGTCCGTAAACCGACCGACCCATGTCGGGGACGTCAGGTAGGTATTAGGAGTACTACCGAGCCAGCAAACAAAATTCCGGCAACACTCCAACCGATTACACTCCGTTCCTCCTCCGGCCGCCGCTCTTACTCCTCGCGATATGCGCGCGCATGGTCTTGCTCGTCTCGACCAGACTCCTCTTGTTCTTGGCCCTGGCCTTGCCGATGGTCATCAAAAAGTTCTTCTTGCGGGCCTTCTCCCTGTTGGTGGTGCTCTTGCCCTCGGCGTCCTTCTTGGCCCGGCGGATGGCCTGCGTCGACTTGTGCTCCTCGCGGGCGGGCTTGCCGTCGCGCGCCAGCGCCACCCGCTCCTCCTTGGTCGTCTTCTTGCCCAGCTGCGCCGGCAGCTCGATGTCGTCGGCCGTGAGCCCGTCCTCGATGTGCTTGTCGATGAGCTCCTTCTTGCGCTTCGAGGTGCGGCCGAGCGCCTTGTCGATCTTGGCCTCGCGCCGGAGCTCCTCGAGCTTGGCGAGATCGGCGGGGGTGAGGATGGAGGTTGTGGCGAGCTTGGAGATGCGGTTGAGTTCAGCCTCTGCAGCCCCAGCTTCGGTGGAGGTGTCGACAAGATCGGGGGCTTCGTCGGTGTCGCCTTCTTTCCGGCGCTTCTTTTTGGCTGGCTCGTCGTCTTCCGAGTCGCTGCTGACGTCAATCCACCCGCCGGACGACTCGCTGTCGGTGGAGGCGACCTCC